ATACTGGCCCATAGCGTACCAGACCATAGCATACTGGGCCATAGCATACTGGGCCATAGCGTACCAGAGCATAGCATACTGGGCCATAGCGTACCAGACCATAGCATACTGGGCCATAGCGTACCAGAGCATAGCATACTGGGCCATAGCATACCAGACCATAGCATACCAGACCATAGCATACTGGGCCATAAGGTACCAGACCATAGCATACTGGGCAATAGGGTACCAGACCATAGCATACCAGATCATAGCATACTGGGCCATAGCGTACCAGACCATAGCATACCAGATCATAGCATACTGGGCCATAGCGTACCAGAGCATATCATACTAGGCCATAGCGTACTGGATCAATGCACACTGGACCACATCAAACCCGACTGTTGCATATCAGGCCAGTTACCAGCAGAACCATTCTTACCACAGGTCATGACCATGTATAACGCCTTACCTGCTGAAGAGAAAGTGGCCTGCAAGAACTTTGACCTACAAGTGAAACTGACAAAAACAGGTAAATAGAAATATTATGCAGAAGGGAGACATACTTTGGCCTATACTCCTTATCTGGACCTTTAACACCATAGTAAAATGTGTAATCCATCCAATTCTATTCATTTACATTTTACATTTACATTTACAGCATTTGGCAGACGCCCTTAGCCAGAGCGACTTACATAAGTGCTTTAAGACTCTACAATGAATTTCCCGATACTAGCTCAATAAAAACCAAGGCTATGAATACCATCGATCTAATACTCTGTTGGGAAAGTTTTTTTTTTTATATAAAAGGAAAGAACTGAGTATAATGCCAGAAGTGCTAATTCAGGGGGAGCGCAGTCTATCCCAGGCAGCACAGGGAATGAGGCTGGGGGACACCCTTCATGGGACACCAGTCCAACACCCTTCATGGGACACCAGTCCAACACCTTTCATGGGACACCAGTCCAACACCCTTCATGGGACACCAGTCCAACACCCTTCATGGGACACCAGTGCAACACCCTTCATGGGACACCAGTCCATTGCAAAGCACATGCACACATTCACACAATGTATGTGGGTAATATAGAGACACCAATTACCATTCCTGCATGTCTCTGAACTGTGGGAGGACAATGGGGACGCCAGCAGAAACCAGTACATCATGAGAAGAACATGCAAACACACACAAACACACACATACATACATACATAGACACACACACATACAGACACACATATAAACAGATGCACACGCACGCTCAAACACATACATACATGCACAGACACACATATAGAAGCAGGTATGCATATAAACACATGCACACATACACACACACACACACATACATACACACGCACAGACACGTATATAAACATATGCACACACACACGTGCAAACACATACATACATACACAAACATACAGACACACATGCACACACACATACATACACATGCACAGACACGCATATAAACACATGTGCACACAGAAACACAAGCGCGCACACATACATGCACACACACCCCCAGCCCTGAAGGTGGCAGCAGAGGTGTTCCCTATAGCTACCCCCAGCATAATGGTGCCTCAGCTTATTGTTTTCACTCATAACTTTGTGTAAATGGGTAACATCCCCCCTTTTGACTTCTGGTGAGGACATGGA